ACCACATGCCAGCCAGCCCTGCCCCCTGGTGGGCTGAGCTGGCCACACACACACACACACACACACACACACACACACAATTTTTAAAAAAAATTTAAAAAAATATAAAATAATTCTGTTAGAGTTCTATAAACACTGACTTCTTGTTTTGTAGTGTATCTGAAGGAATGTGAACTGGCTAAACAGCTTCATCCAAAAGAGAATGATTTGGTGTTTTTGGTGCCTGAGCGGCTGAATGGAGGGAAGAGCGATAGAGACAGACGCAGCACTCAGGAGCTCTCCGAGTATCACTGTGGTTACGTTCACAGGTTTCGCCGCACGTCAGTCAGTAAGTAGATAACGAGGCACTGAGAAGGCGTCTGTCAGCTACAGTGGAACCTGGCTCACGGCCGCTTCTGTTTGCGAATGATTTGGTTCACAAATAAATGTGTGGCAAAATTTTGTGTTTGTGAACTCCGCATTCATGACCACAGGAACACAGACATGGATGTCGTCTTCAGAATTGTGGGGCCAGTCAGTTCCGGCTCCGAGCTGCTGCCGCGGCCGCTGCCGAGGCCTTGTCTTCCCATTCTCTGCTGTGCTCTCCTAGCTTTGTGTTGGCTGCACATGTACAGAGCAGGCATTTGCTGCTGCTGCCATTCAGAGTGCCGTTCCAGTTTGTCAGGACTTCAGCTCCTCCATTTAAGATGCTGCTGTGTTGTCACCGCACAGACCATTTGGAAGTCAGCTGGGTTTTTTCTCAGTAATGAGGATTGAACCCAGGGCCTTTGCATTGAGCCAGTCCTTTTTATTTTTTTATTTTGAGACTGGGTCTTACTAGGGTGCTCTCTTTGCCAGGCTGGGCTTGAACTCGCAACCCTCCTGTCACAGCTCCTCATGTGTCTGGGATTGTAGGCCCATGTCACAGTCTTTTTGATTGCAGAGTCACCATTGTTTATTTCATGCCAAATTGGCTTTTTGACATTGACAAATTTCTTATTCTTCGTTATGGGAAGAAAATAGTGGAGTTCTTTGTTCTTTTTTGCATCATATCTTAAAAAGTAACAATAACCCTCCTTAGACTATATGAGAGACTTCTCCAGTTAGTGTGATCAGAGCTAAATTTCGTGCAGAGAACTTTTAAAAGAATTGCAGCAGGGAAGGATTGCCTTTGGCTCTGGGAAATTTCTTTGTAATACATATTTCCAAAATGTAGTCCTCGCCTGCTATTACGTCCTGCTCCAATGTGCCATTAATTTTTATCTCAATTGCTGCAGTAGCCTTGTGTCTGTGCTTTCCCATTCCAGTGCTTTACAGTGAAAGTTACTTGTTTTAATTTGAGGTAGAACACATTACTTCCCTTCTGAGAACTCACTCTGTAGATACCTACCTAGCTGTGTTTGGATAGGATTCAGAGTCATTACTGTGGTCGGCAGAGCTCTGTAAAATACAGTAGTCTCCTTTTAATCTCTAGCTCACCTAGTACTCTTCTCCCCTCTTCATCAGCCTCCCTACACCCTCCTCACTCTTTGCCCCTTAGTGCGGGCGGACTGTCCTCAGTTCGACTCTCCTCAGTCCACTTGCTGTCGTCTATGGAGTCAGCCCTTCCCTGCCCAGCCTGCACCACCACACCTCCCTGCTCGTCTCTCCACACTTAGCGCCATCAGATGTGTTTATTTGGTGTCCTCCTCCCTCCTCTAGAAACCGTCGAGAACAAGAGCATTGCCTGAGTAATTTATTTAAATACTATATCATACAAAGTACCTAATTTTGAATAACTTCAACAGAACAATATTACTCAGTAATAACTGAAATTATTTTTTCTCCTTCTTGATCATAGTGTGTAATGGAAAATCTGAGTGTTCCCTTTCCATTCAGACTGAAGATAATTTTCCAGCCAATTTAAATGAAGTTATGAAATGCATTGTAATCAGTTCTCTGGTAACTACACAAAGGAAGCTGAAAGCCATGTCTTTGTTGAGTGGCCGGAACCAGCTGGCCAGAGCTATCCTGAACCCAAACCCCATGGATTTCTGTACCAAAGATTTACTAACCACAACATCTGAGAGACTTGTGAGTACTGGTTATGTAATACCCAGGAAAGTCAGAAAACTGTTAAGATCCTGAAGTATCATAGTTTTAGATGCTACATACTTCAGATCATCTACAACCACAGTGTTCATCATGCAAGTGCAGTAGCGTGCTTAGGTTTTAGTTTTCATTGCTATTGCAGAGTATATGATGAAGTTGCTCAGCTTATCTCAAGAAAAGAAACAGGATGAAAAAGAGCTGACAGCACGCTGGCGTGTTGGAAGAATGCCATTAAGATGTTAGGTCAAGGGGCCAGGGAGATGGCTCAGTAGAATAAGCACTTGCCTGGCAAGCTCAAGGGTCTGAGTTCGATCCCCGATTCCACAAAAAAAGAAAAAAAAAAAAGATGTTAGGTCAGCGTCCTGTTTCAGTGTTTTTAGGTGATGAGAATTCAGGAGTGTGAGTCTCAGGTTTCATGAATTTTTTTACATTTGAATGGCTGTTGTGGAGTTGGCTGGTTTTGCCACAGAGAGAAAGCTGTCCCCTTGTGTGAACATGTATTTTATACCATAAGAGCAGTGCATGGATTCCGGGAAGTAGACACAGAGAAGTGCGCTTGGGGAGTAAAAGTTTTGAATCCTTTGTTACAGGGCTTTCATTTTGCCTTATCTTGGTAAGATCTTAGCTTTTAAGGAACCTGAAATTTAATAAATGACAGAAGTTGAGACTCAGAAAAATGAGGGTTTACAGTGACATAGCTTAAAAGTAAAAATCTGATCCTGGAATCCATGCTTTTTCCACATATGTGAGAAAAGACTCATGAATACCCTTACAGTCTAAAGAGAGAATTTATTTATTTATTTTTATTTTATTTGTGTGTGTGTGTGTGTGTGTGTGTGTGTGGCCAGCTCAGCCCACCAGGGGGCGGGGCTGGCTGGCATGTGGTGCTGGGGGATTGAACCGTGGTCCCTGTGCTTTGCCAAGCTTGTTCTAAGTAGGTGCTTTAGACCACTGAGCCATCTTACCAGTCCCTAAAGAGAGAATTTATTAAATGGAAAAAACCCACAAGGAATAACTGAAGGAAAGTATAGATTAGTAAGTGAAATTTATTGTGGTCATCTTTGTAAGAATCACAAAAATGTAGTTGTGTATTTGTAAGTGGGCTGAAGACTATAGACGCTAATAATCAGTAAGTAGCTTTCTTTCCTTTTTTATTGTTTTGAGACAGGATCTCACTAGATAGCGCAGGTTGGTCTTGAACTCACCTTGTAGCTCAGGCTGACCTCAAACTTGTTGTGATTCTCCTGCTGCACCTTCCTGAGACTAGCTTTCTTTCCAGTAATGGAAGTGGTTCTTAAAGTTAGTCATTTGAGGTCTTGCCTGTGTGTGCATAGCTAAGCTTTTTTGTGTAATACACCTTGGGTGAAATTCAGATGATTTTCATGTATCACTACAGAAAAAAACTTGTTCTCACAAATGTCTTTTTATATAGATTGCCTACCTAAAAGATTACAATGAAGAGCAAAAAAAGGCGATAGAGACAGCTTATGCCATGGTTAAACACCCACCGTCAGTTGCCAAAATCTGTCTGATTCATGGACCACCTGGAACGGGCAAATCAAAAACCATCGTTGGCCTCCTGTTCCGCTTACTGACAGAGGTGGGTATGAGGAGGACGCTGGTGCTCTACGAGGGCATGTGGCTTTGCTCCTCTGGAGCAAACTGGCCTGTAATAGTTAAGGGCCTTTTCCCTTCATATTTTTGAAACTATATCGGAAAGGAGTGGCAGAGATGAAGTGCGAGTAGTCAGAAGGTCAGGAAATACTGTCTGGTGTGAAGCAAACCTCCTGGAGTAGGATGTGGTGGGTTCAGCTTCCATGACAGGTCACAGCTAATGCAGAAATCCACTTTGACTGGAGCTGGGTGTTGGTCAGACTGCGTGTTGGTGAAAGGGAGGACCGTAGATGGCAAAGTGAGATGCAGACCCTTACTTTGACACGTTAGAGTAATTTCAGTGTCAGAGAAAGATGTAGATGTTTTTACAGTATTTTAAACTGCATTACAAGAATTTTCTGACATACATGGAAGTAGAAGAAAACTTTAAAACTGTGTAATGGGAGCTCATCAATATTTTTGTTATGTTTTTTATTTGGTATGTGGCAAACTATAGAACCAAAGAGGGGGGCATTCAGATGAAAACTCCAATGCCAAGATCAAACAAAACCGTGTCCTTGTGTGTGCTCCTTCCAATGCAGCTGTTGATGAACTTATGAAAAAAATTATCATCGAATTCAAAGAAAAATGTAAAGACAAGAAGAATCCTTTGGGTATGAAACGTGGGTCTTTAATTTGTGTTTTTTTGTTTGTTTTGTTTTTGTTTTGGCGGAACCAGGGACTGAACTCAAGCCCTTGCACTTGCCAGGGAAGTGCTTATTCCGCTGAGCCATCTCCCCGGCCCCTTTAATTTGTTTTTGTTTCAGTGTTTAGTAAGTGTTGGGCGCTTTGAATGCTGGTGGTAAGAAGCCAGTCTGCTGGGTTGGTGCCCTCATGTACACGTTGACCCCTCAGCAGCATTTTACTGTGCACTTATCCTGTGCCAGGCATTGCACCAAACACTGAGGTTTCAACACTGAACGCTTCAGAGTGACAGTGTAACGGGAAAAGGCCACTGATACAGTGGGAGGGGACCTGTGAGCTAGTCGTGTGCAGGCTAGGTAGGGCTTTTGTAGGAAATGATGACCCAGTTGAAACCTGAAAAGCACTTAGGAATTAGCCACATAATGGGAGGAAGGAGGAAGAAGGAGTGGGGCAAGAGAGCCTGGGACAGCGCAGCAGGCCTCCCCTGGCATCCGTGCAGGCAGGCTTCTGATCACGTCTCCGTGCTTCCCCCAGTGCCCCATGCCCAAGCGCTGCCTGGCACTCCGTTGAGGGCAGCTGCTTATTGACCGAAAGGCCCGAGCCGTGGGGTCTGGTGAAAGATAAGGTTTGCGCTTGGTGAGCGCTGTGCAGATAATCCCTGTTCGCAGTTACTGCGTGCTTGCTATGTGTGGTTGATCCTTAGAAGAGCTCTGTGAGCTTGGCGTTAGATAACCCTGCCGTCTGTGTGTCACACGTCGGGAAGCTGAAGTGCAGAGATGTTGGACAGGAGCAGTGTCTTCAGCGGGAGCCGTGTAATAGTGGTCAGCATGCCGGGGTGCCTCAGGAACTTGAGAGCAGAGGTGACATTGTATCTGCTTACTTAGCACTTGCTCGTATCACTCTCTCTCTCTCTTTTTTTTTTGTGTGTGTATTTTGTAGGGCAGAGTCTACAGGGTGCTCAGGGTCTCACTGCTAGATCAGACTCGTAGTGCTCCCGTCTGTTTACAACCTCCCAAAAGCTGGGATTATAGGCGCACACCCCCACCCTCAGTCTCAATGGCCATCTCAGCGTGCCCCGGGGGTGGGGCTGGCATGGCAGGCCTGGGGAGTGTCACTCATTTTGAGTGGTACTATTTCAGCTTGTGCTGCTTTCCCAATTCATAGATGTCTTGTTTTCCCTACAAATTGGGTTTCTCCTGAGGATACCTGATACTGCCTTTTGCCCATTAGGATTAGATGCAGTTGCAAATAATAGGGATTCTTTTATTTCTTTTTTTTTTTTTAA